CCGCTAGATGGACGCCAATTTTTTAGTCCATAAAATGGGCTATTTTTTTATTTTCTTTAATAACGGTTCTAGCAGGCTATAATTAGATTCGTTCGATTCCGTAGGCGACAAGGAACAATTTGTATATCTCAGAATTTCGGAAAAGTCCTTAGTTTTTGAGAAAATCGAAATTTTATTTTTTCGTAGTTCCGCCGCTCGCCGCTAGATGGCGCCACATGTACCGTTTTCGACCGAATTCGACAAAAATTCATTTTCTGCCTTTATTAGGCATCAAAACGCATCAAACCCTAATAGAAATTTGTTTCTAAATGCCTCAGGGACCATACTGCGTCGTCAAAGTGCCGAAATATTGCACTTTGCATGCGTAGTAGAATTCACATAGGCGGCTCATGTATTTATCGCACGGCTGCAACAAAATAATTAATTACTCATTACCCGAACATTATTTATGAACTTTCATGATCGAACCATGTAAATAATGCATTGCTAACCATTCTTCGATCATAAAGGTTCATAGACTGTGCTCGGAATGTGAGCAATTAACGATTTGGCATACTCATTATCATGTGTATATTCCTCCTGCGCGCCGGCCGCGCATGCCACGGAGGAATAATTACCGAAAAACCATATCCGCCTAGACTTTAATGGATTTAAAATTTTTTTATGTCCATCTGGATGTACATGCGCATGTGCGTGCAAAATTTGATGAGAATTGGTTGAGTGGTGCAAAAGAAAAGCGCGGACAAAGAAGTTGCAAAGTCAAGTATAAGAGCTTCGACTCGCTCACTCAATAAAATAATATTATGTTTCAATGAAAAGTCAGTTATACTTACTTGATTGAATTTTTGGTTCGAAAGTAATAACAGCGTACATAAAAATGACACAGTAACGGGAAAAGGTAAGAAAGAAAAAAAAAAATATTCACCGCCCAACGTGGGGCTCGAACCCACGACCCTGAGATTAAGAGTCTCATGCTCTACCGACTGAGCTAGCCGGGCTTGTTCGGTTCTTCTCTTATTTTAGTTTATCTGTTATATAATTTAATCGTAATAGAGAAAAAAGAAAACGAAACCTGCAAATAAGTATTACGCATCAACATAAGTGGTAAACATCTTTTTTTAATGGATGAATAAAAAGTAACGAAGGTATAGCGTATATATAAATATATGTAACAAGTTTATGTATACATTTAACAAATACGTTTAATTAAGCGTAAGTTAATTAATGCGTTAAAGTCCTCTGTCCTTTTTGCGCGTCTGCTTCGGTTAATTTTTTTCGTTCTTTCGATACGTAACACTTTCAATTTGAAATTAATTTTTCTGGTAAACGCGTTCGGCTAAACATATTATTAAAAATGACGATCCTTCGATGCAAATAAATTAGATATATTATGGCACATAATACTAACAGTGGGTAATTTTCAAAGTTGAGAAATATCAACGGTACTTTGGAATTATTGTTGTTCGCTGGTTTCTCTCGATTCGGCAGCTACTTCCGCGTATACACCTTCGATAACACGTTATTAATCATCTTATGTGCATCACGATCGTTAAGCATCGCGTTACTCTAACACAGTCGAACTTGCCCAGTTATTAATTAATAAGTATTCGAACGTAGCATGAATCGCGTTTAACATTTATCGAACACATATATCACTGTATCATAGTTAGGTGGCGAATGATAATTTGATTTAACGAGAAACTTGAAAAGTTTGAAACTGTGTTCGTATTTGTAGGTACATGGTAACTAAGGAATAAGCGTTAGTAAAAACGATAACGCGAGTAGAGGAAGAAAATGTTGACCGATGCGAGTAGCCGCCGAACAATCGGATGGACAATCGTACGAACCGTCCGTTTTATTTTGCAAAAGAAGACTTCTCGTTAATTTCAAACCCTCGCACGAGTTCTGGATCTTGACAAACTTTATTTTTCGAGCCTCGAGAAATTGCTCCAATTCGAGCCTGCACCTCCATTTCAACGGATTTCCGAAAAACTCGACAATGTACACGTTAGGCATATCGTTCAAGTCGCTGGTATAGATACATCTGAAGGCGTTACCTTCCAGATTCAAATAACTAAGTCGACTCAAGTGACGGAAAGCTCCAGATTCGATATAATCGATGGAATTACCTCGTAAATCTAGCCTCTCGAGATTTTCCAGAACGAACCAAGACGAGCCGATCATTTCCAGCCGATTGTCTTGAATCGTTAAATTTTTTAATTTGCCGAGACCACGGAACGCGCCTTCTTCGACGGTCATTAAATTACACTTCCTGATTACCAGTTCCCGCAGATTGGTGAATCTAGAGAAAACCTCGGTCGGTAGTCGCGGTAGGTTACAGTTTTGAAAGACGATGGAGGCGACCTCGGCCGGTATCGTCTGCAACAATAATAAATTACCATTGTCGCACACGTATACGAGTCCCCTGCTGTCCTCGCGAGAAACGCAGCTTCCCTCGATCGTCTCGTTCTTGGTCGAGTGAACGACGCTCGTCGTCGGAGGATCGACAGTAGCATTTGGAATCCGCGTAAAGTAACAATCTTCCTTCGATAACAGCGAACGGTTGTCGTAGCTAATTCCACGGCCGTTTAAGAACTCGGCTATTTTGTTGGCGCACATACAGGACCAAGGATTGTTGGAAACCCGTAGAGACGTCAGGTGACGGAGACGAGCAGCCATGTATTCGATGCCGATGCAGTTCATGACATTTTCCGAGATGTCGAGGGTCGCGAGGTGCGGCAAACAGTTGAACGCGTCATTCGCGATTCTGTAAACGTTGTTACGCGACAGATCCAGCCATTTCAGATTGTACAGATCCCGGAACATTTCTGCGTCGATAAATTCTAATTTATTACCGCGTAGAGACAAATACTCGAGTCTGCGGAGATTGGAAAAAGCTCGAGGCTCGATGTTCTCGATGTTACAGTCTCTGAGCTCGAGTGTCGATAGATATTCGTTGAAGCGTAAGAATGCGTATTCCGGAATCTTTTTTATATTCGACTGGACGACTCGGATAGTGTGCACCGTGGAAGGTATTACGCCCAATTCCTCGATCGATGTTATAGCTCGACAAGTGTAGCTCGATCCGTCAGTTTTGTCAGGACTGCATCCGCCGATATAAGTCGTTGGTCCGGTCAGCGTGACATTCGATTGTTCCACGGTGGTTTTGAAGGTAGTCCAATATATTTCGCCGCTTGTAACCGCAGTTTCGCTGACCGTTGTCTACGCAAGAGAAATTGTCAATTTCTAAAGATCTTTATACGCTACGACGACGAAAGGAGTTATATCGAATATAACTAGGCATCGTACCTGTTGCACCGGTCGGCCACTGCTGACATCTGGAATCTCGTTCTCGTTGTTGTTGTTGTAACATCGACCCACGTTAATGTCGAATCCAACGATTCTCCGCGTCAGAAAATTTTCCAGAACATTGCGACAACTACAGAGCCAAGGATTACCGACGGCGTCCACCTTTTCTAATTTCTTCAGTTCGGCTAATTCCTCGATTGCTATACAACGCAGCCGATTATTTCGTATATCGAGATACCGTAAACTATCGCCGACACTCGACAAAGAGTTTCTTTCGAACTGTTCGATACCGTTTTGTTTCAGAATCAATTGTTGAAGACTGAAGAGATATCGAAACCAATTTTCACCGACTATCGCAAACCGATTGCCGACCATCGAGAGACGCTGTAATCTATTTAATCCCGCGAAAGCGTCGTCGTCGATCGTCTCGATGCCACAGTAGTTGAAATCCAAGCTCCGCAAACTATTTCCGAAACGGAAAAACGCGTATCTTGGAAGTTTGTCTATCGGCAAACCGGAAATCTCGATCCAGGTGGTTTCGTCGGGAAGTTTGTCCAAGGAGGTGAGCACGTTGGTCTGAAGTTCGTTCCCATGAATCGTCGTTCGATTCTGAAATCACGGTTAACCGATTAATCGTTTCGAAGATAATCCGTACAACCTTTCTGCGCGTACACTTACTTTGTCGGAATTGCTGGTGAGTTGCGGAGAAAAAGAGAAGGGCAGGTCGGGAAATCCGATTAGCGCCATACATTGGCAAACGCTCGTTCCTGTGAAACATCGCGCTTCCTGAACGATAGATCGACCTTTAAGGTATTCGTTCAATCTTCGTCGACATTCGCAGAGCCAAGGGTTCCCGTCGAAACGTACGGTCCTGAGTTCTCGAAGATACGACAACTCCTTAATCGGTAAGCAACTGAGATCGTTATCTCGCAGCCCTAAAGTTTCGATCTTAGGCAGCTGGCGAAAAACATCGGGTTCGATATGCACCAAACCGCATCTGCGAACACGTTCGTAATTCGCTGTGGGTATGTACTCGAATATATAATCTTATGTCTTATCTTCTAAATACGCATAAATTGAATTTCAGAAGAAAACGAACGACATTACGAGTCTAGTCGCAGGATTTTCATGCTACGATACTAACGATACGAATCCATTATCATTTTTACGTAATCGTTTGTTTTCGATCGTATTGACGAGGGCGCTGACGGCGTTTTGCCAAGAAGGAAATACTTACCGCGCTTCCGCGTTTCCCATGCAAATCTCGGCCCACTACGAGTGCAAATAAGTCTTAATCGTTTTAAAGGTATCGTAGCTAATAATCGTTAGAGACAAAGTATTTATGTTGCTATGTTACTAGTCGAATGTCACACCGATATTTCGCTTACTTGTCCATGAGCAATTTTCTCAAGTTAAGAAGAGGACGGAACCACGCGGTCCTGGCCACGCGAATCTCGGTCCCATGGAATATCAACCATTCCAACCGATCGAGACCGGCAAACGCGTCTGGATCGATGAATCTTATGTGGCAACTGTAGAAGGATAATCGTCTAAGGTTATTGAATCTCCAGAACGCGTTGCCCGGTATATGGTGGAGTCGGGACACTGTAAACTCTATCCATTCTGCCTCGTCGGATATCTCCTCGAGGTCGTTTAGGCCGCCTTCCGTGCACGCGTAGGCGATCGACCGTTCGTCATCCACGATCGGTATTAGGCTACATTTGCAATGTACCCGGCCAATTATGGCGACCAACGCCCAGAGTAAAATCAGATGCATCGTTTTTTTCCAATTCTAAACTGGCTACGTCAGCTGAAAACGTCTATCGGTCTTCGATGCCGGTCTATCGTCGGACTGCCTGGAAGCCTAGAAGGGATTTCGATCGAATAACTTACGTTACGGTACGTCTCGTCTGGTAGCTAAATAATCTGAAAATAAATCTGACCACTAACTGAGTTATTATTTTTTCTATTCAGAGCAGACCAGATTCCATCGTACACCTCCTGATTTACTCGTTTGGTCGCGCAACTTCCACTGCTCCAGTTCCTCAGCATGTAGAGCGTGTTTTTACTTCGCACGCCGGAAAAGCCACTTGTCACCGTTCACCATGGCCACGTTCCTTTCGTTTCGACGAACTTCCTACCCCAATCACGCGGATACCTTTCTTCGCTTTGCACGCGTAGTAACCTCTCGAAAACTTCACCGACGTAAAATTTCGCCGATCTTTTTTTATTATCTTCAGAATTGCTGCAAGTTTCCAATGAAATTACAACGAGGTTCGCGCGCAACGATAGCGTTTTCGGTGAAATAGGAAGGATGGATCGGAAGCGAGGATGCACTAGGAAGTATGAATCATAGACTTACGAGAGCGCGGCTCGGATCGGTGGATCGAAACGGAGCGTCGCGACTGAGCTGGTGGTTCGCGCGCTTCCTCGTTATATAAACTTCTAAGGCCAAGGTCTCCCTTGTCCCCCGCGCCGGTTCTATCTATACGCAACGATCCCTGAGCACCGCGACCTATCTTTAGCATGCACCGCTCTAGTTTGGCAGGAAAAATTGCACGGCGACTAAAAATTGCACAGCCTATGACTGGCCTGTGCCTGTAACGTTTAGCTAGTGCACCCGAAACACGTCCGCTAGCAAGGTCTGGCACGCGGTCCTGGCCACGCGAATCTCGGTCCCATGGAATATCAACCATTCCAACCGATCGAGACCGGCAAACGCGTCTGGATCGATGAATCTTATGTGGCAACTGTAGAAGGATAATCGTCTAAGGTTATTGAATCTCCAGAACGCGTTGCCCGGTATATGGTGGAGTCGGGACACTGTAAACTCTATCCATTCTGCCTCGTCGGATATCTCCTCGAGGTCGTTTAGGCCGCCTTCCGTGCACGCGTAGGCGATCGACCGTTCGTCATCCACGATCGGTATTAGGCTACATTTGCAATGTACCCGGCCAATTATGGCGACCAACGCCCAGAGTAAAATCAGATGCATCGTTTTTTTCCAATTCTAAACTGGCTACGTCAGCTGAAAACGTCTATCGGTCTTCGATGCCGGTCTATCGTCGGACTGCCTGGAAGCCTAGAAGGGATTTCGATCGAATAACTTACGTTACGGTACGTCTCGTCTGGTAGCTAAATAATCTGAAAATAAATCTGACCACTAACTGAGTTATTATTTTTTCTATTCAGAGCAGACCAGATTCCATCGTACACCTCCTGATTTACTCGTTTGGTCGCGCAACTTCCACTGCTCCAGTTCCTCAGCATGTAGAGCGTGTTTTTACTTCGCACGCCGGAAAAGCCACTTGTCACCGTTCACCATGGCCACGTTCCTTTCGTTTCGACGAACTTCCTACCCCAATCACGCGGATACCTTTCTTCGCTTTGCACGCGTAGTAACCTCTCGAAAACTTCACCGACGTAAAATTTCGCCGATCTTTTTTTATTATCTTCAGAATTGCTGCAAGTTTCCAATGAAATTACAACGAGGTTCGCGCGCAACGATAGCGTTTTCGGTGAAATAGGAAGGATGGATCGGAAGCGAGGATGCACTAGGAAGTATGAATCATAGACTTACGAGAGCGCGGCTCGGATCGGTGGATCGAAACGGAGCGTCGCGACTGAGCTGGTGGTTCGCGCGCTTCCTCGTTATATAAACTTCTAAGGCCAAGGTCTCCCTTGTCCCCCGCGCCGGTTCTATCTATACGCAACGATCCCTGAGCACCGCGACCTATCTTTAGCATGCACCGCTCTAGTTTGGCAGGAAAAATTGCACGGCGACTAAAAATTGCACAGCCTATGACTGGCCTGTGCCTGTAACGTTTAGCTAGTGCACCCGAAACACGTCCGCTAGCAAGGTCTGGGACAGCCGAACAGTTGGCGGAAACGTTCGCGCAGCCGTATCGTCGCGTCGCGTCGCGTTTCCTGACGGATCGACGCGATTTCCACGGTTTTCGCAAACCGTGCTTCGTACCCGCGGATCTCGAATTTTCAACGCGTAGCAACGTTTATGTAATTAACGGAGCAGTCACGGTTCCGCGACGACCTACAATATGTACTGTTCCGGAGGATGGCTTTGACCGTTCCTCGTTATACGTTTTAACGTTTCGAAATTCTAAGGAGAAACAGCACCGTATCGAATGGTGCATCGTCGCGTCACCGCGTCAGCCGATGTACCGTTTTCGTCAATTTCTTTGCCTCGTCGTTACCTTCGTATCGCGGTATTATTATTGGAACGCGTACTTTTAGATGACCAGTTACAACACCGCTATGGTGTTAACGCTTGGTCCAATTCCGCGGGATAAATCAGTCGATGCGTAGATACCGGTTGCGTATCTTATCTAGTCTGATGTTACTTGCCATATGTTGGCCAGAGCTTGGAAAATTTGCTGGTTCGCTTCTTAACGTGTACCTTGTTTAAAGTCGAACACGGTTAATTGGACGTAGCGTTATTTCGAACGATTTATACATACCGATTCGCCTGGCAGAAGAAAAACTACGCGTTATATTTACTGTTCGAATCAGGGTCGTATCGACCACTCCCTATCGGGCAAGTTTCACCCTGTCGGTCGAAGGTCGGTCCTGCTATTTCGTTCGCGATGATCGTCGTTTATTTACGGATTCGCGAAACGATCTAGATCATTTTCCAGACAACGATTCGAAACGGAATACGAGGAAAAATGTTTCGTCGACGACGTAAAAAAGTGAAAGACGTGAAATATACGTATTTTTTCTTTTGGATTTTGGCGAGGAAAAAAAGAGCTAGTATTTATATACATATAAAAAAGGAAGGACACATCACGAAGCAAAAAGGATAAAGCCGATATTAGTATAGAGTTATGTAGACGTTACAATATCGACGTATAAATGATTTGAAACTATTTTTATATTTTTTTTTTGCAGGATAATTAGCAAATATCTAAGGTTTGGATCGGTAACGCGTAATAACGCGAAATCGCTTGACATTGGAATTAGTCGTCGATGTTATGCCGTTCATCCATCCATTTTACCCATCCAAGTCGAAGACGATGCATCGTTATTGGCCGGCAGTCTCTCGCGGGCTGTCGTTCGCAGCGCATGCAGTTCCGCGTTCGTCCTCCTCCGTCCGCGCCGTACGCGCCGTACGCTCGAGTTTCGAACGTTGCAAGTGTCACGGGAGTATTTCCGCGGATGAAATAAAATAACACCGGCACAACCGTATCCACGGTTTCTGAAGTTAAACTTTCATTTTGACGAATTTTCAGGATACGCGTCGCTAAACTATGAGTTTTCTCGAATAACGGAGAGACAGAGCTTCGGCTTTGAAAGTCAGGGAAGAACTAGTTTATTATGTCAAAAGGCGGAGATTATATATTGTACATTGAACGAATCAGTTGTTTTCGGGATTACTGGATTATCGCTTATGAGTCGTGTGTTTTCGGGGTTAATCTCGAATTTCGGATTACGTGTTATCTGTCGTGACACAAGCGTGCTGCGCTTGCTAAACAATTTATTTAAAATATTTGATAAGTCGTTTGAACGATAATTTCTATATCTCTTGAACTCGACACTGAAGGTGAAAATTTCGATACCGATAGGTTCGAATAGTTGGGTGAGTGGCGGATAATATAAAGTCGGTGGTATCGACGCTCGTGTACCAACGGTAACTGTTAAGGTAATTACAAGCGGGTTTCCACTGCAGCATCTAAGCGTTCTAGAAATCATGAGATACGATCGAGTCGCGTCTGTACCGTTAATTTCAACGGGCAATTCGAAGTATTTCGTCGGTGCGTTTCGATCGGAACTGCTTGGTATAACGCGAAATCGCTCTTAATTAGCCATCGCCTCTAAAACGGACTAAGAAAAGGTTGAATCTCTGTTGCGTTAGGAAAGGAAATTCCGATCGAGGCCAGTCGGAAAAAGGGAACGGGCAGAAAAATGGATTCTCACGACGGCTCGACGAGGCTCTCTCGTCACGATCCACGGTTAGACCTACGCAGGACGCCAGAAGCCGTAATCGTGTCAGGTGGGTAGATTCGAAGAGGTATTCGGAGCGCGGCAAGTAACTAACGATGGGCTATAGTAATCGATAAATAAACGAACTGGAGTCGTCCCCTAGGAATTCCGAGTAGTCGATTGGCTGGCTTCTATTGCGACGAGCATGCAGGGATTCGCGCGTTACCTAATCTACGCGTACACGCTCGGCAAATGAAATTAGCGGTGATTAGGTCAGAAGGTCAGCCAGTTCGCGTAGAGCAAGGTCGAACCGAGAGCGTATCGAGTATCTCACCTACGTGCCTCGCGTACCTTCGAACCAGCAAAAAACTGACCACGTCGTATGCTACTGTTTTTTCCCACTCTGCGGAACGTCCTCACGGAATGCTTGGAAGATTTCTCCAGGATGACGAGGTTTTTCCCTCGAGCGCATACTGCTCGGTGATTAGATTGCGCCATGAGTTTGCAACGGCGACTCGATTTTCTCTGCCGTATATCAAACACCTTGCAATTTTTACAATTTTTACTCGTTACTTCGCGTCATCGATGACTCGGTTAGTAGTATCGAAAATTTTCGATCGAAATCCTATGGAGTAGATGTAGAAGAACATGCGTTTTCAAGAAGAAGCTTACGTATGCAAAGTTTAGGAAAATCAAGGGAGACTCTACGGAACGAATCATACGATGCCCTTGTGCCAGCAGTGCAGATCGTTCGTACGTCCGTGTACCGCGATCGCGCTAGGTAACCTCACCGATGACGGGGTCCGGTACGATACCTCGGCGCTTTTTCCGGGCATCGGTGCGTTCGCGTACGAGCGATACGCGAACAGAAAGTGAGCTTAGGCGAGGGAAGGATCGAACCGAAGCAACAGTCAGAAGGAAGGAGAGAGGGAGGAAGTTACTCTCGCGTGTAAGAGAGGTCACTCGACGGAATATCGTGGAATGGAATGGAATGGAATGGTCGTAAGCCAGTCCACATTGAACTGCCGAATCGCGCGGATCGGTTCCCTCGCCACGCGACTCCATTCACTTTTTCGCACGCCTGTTGCTGCGGTTGTTCCTTCGCCGCCACTCGCTGCCACTCGGCCAACGGTGCACGTCTCGCTTGCGGTTGATACTCCGACCAGTCGCGCGACTACTGGACCCTAAAATTGGATACCTATGTGCAGGTGCGATCATGTTCGCTTCGGGTGTACCGTCTAGAGCCGAGGTACCAGATTCTTGCTGCTTCGTTACGAGGGATCGCAACAGCGTGACAAGATCTTCGAATACTCTTCGACCAGAACTAGGTGATCTAGGGCATTCGATAGCGGCGAATGTATTGCCGGAATCATGCGAGTCCGATGGATTAAGCGTGTCCATCGTGGCGCCTTGTCCAGGACAATATCGTTGACACGGATATTATTGAGCAAAGCGGTAAGGAAATCCTAACGCGCGTACCAGACACGCTTGTCCGTGGCAATTTCGCGGGCGTTCGAGCGAAGGCGATCAAAGAGTGGCGATAATAAAGGTTGCCACGCGATCCATTGAATCGTGAAATGTTCTTTCGTGCATGTGGGCTGGTTCTGATGCTGGCCCTGGTGTTGTTGTTGTTGTTGTTGTTGTTATTGTTGTTATTGTTGTTGGCGGTGGTGGTGGCGATGATGCCGGTACTGTCGAGACTATTGCTCCCGTTGACAATGTGTAGGCCGTGGAAAAAGGTTTATCGTCGCCACACCCTGCGGCGTCAAATGAAAAACGTCCAACAGCGATGGAACCTTGCCTGTTTGTCATTGCGCATACTTCGCGACAGCTTTTTCCAAAAGATATTTACATTGCATTATTACGGTTATTTGGCTGTGTAGCTGGAAATAGCGCGTGGGATGTTCCGAAACGTAGTAGCGGTTGTAGGGTTCCCGGGGTCCAGTTGAACCGCGTACAGCGAGCATTCACTGTACGGGATCGTTCGTAATCAGCTGTTAATAGCGGATACGGATAGGTAGCATCGTAGAGTGGCATCGTTGAGTCGTGGGAGCTCGTTCGGGATCTGTCAATTTGCCAATTGTAGGAGGTTCGGTAGCTGCACGGGAACGAGACGTGGCGCGACGTGACGCGACGTGCCACGCCATGTATCTCTAGCAACGATCCATTCCACAGGAATTCCAATTCCTTCGGCGGACGGTGGCCAGCGGACAGGAATCGCGCGAGACTCGGTACTGCCTAGAAATAACCGGTCGTGTACTTACGCGTTAGCTACAGTGCATCTTGTACTGCTATGCATCGTGTTACACAGCACCTTGTATCCTTGGATATTCGGCCGTTTCGTTCGAAACCAGTGTTCGCAGTTTTCCAAGTAGCTTATTAAATAGAGAATAGAGAATAGAGAATAGAGATGCAAGTTACAATCGAAGAAAATGGGATCGATGGAATGGAAGATATATTTGTAACCGGTAGACGAATTGGTTCGAGGCGAACGATACGATATTCGAGTGAAAAATCTGTTTTTACTGTATTTTTGCGCCGCAGTCGGGGGAATAGGCTGTATAAGGATCGGTGGCAGGTCGTGCTTGTATCGCGAGTTTAGTATGTACGGTACAAGTATTCAGCCACTGGTGCAGGGTAGTACTTACGTACGTATGTAGAGAACGTAGTTACGTAGCGGGCATGCATCTTTATTATTGGCCGAGAACCCGTACGTGCGCCGCGGTTCGATGAACCTTTACGCTTTACAGTGTACGTGTACGTATACCTATACGGACGCGTGTACCCTTCCGATCCCCAAGTTCTTCGGTGTGTAGATTCGCCGCTGAAAATCCGTTGGGTCTCGCTGGTTCTCTCCTGGGAACCGGTGCAACCAACTCCTCTTTACAAGTTCTTCTTAGCCGATAACAAATATGTCGTATAATTAAGCTCGCTAAGCTAGCTAGCAGTAACGATCGGTAAGAAGCCGACTAAAGTAATTGAAATTGGTGTTATCGCGTTCTTTCTACGGAACCCGATACGAATAAGCAATAATATTATCGGTACTCGCGGTATGTTGGTACGCGTGTAGATATTCGTCGAGTTATCGGGAACGATTCGTTTGTTATCGTGCCACCTCGAATTCGGTCGTCTGTGCAGCGTATTCGAGAGAAGCGGTGCAAGCGGAAGCGACAAACGCTTCTAAACTCGGCTACGAGTTTCTTCGGTTCTAGTGACAGTTTGATCGGCCACTTTTAATCAGAGAGGATATACCTAGAATGATACGACAATTACTGGACGCTTTAGGAGGGAACTCGGTACGCTTTGATCGTTCTAAACTCGAGAAATTTCCCACGATATTTCTAGATAACTAACGACTCGTTTATTTACATACGTTTTGCGGAGGTGTGTTGCCCCTCCTTTCCGTTTGCTCTCGCATTTCGAGTGGCGTCCTTCGTTTCTATAATTATTTATCGCATGTTTCGTTTCTAACCGTACGTTCGGCTGCACCGGCAACGTTTTAACGCGTATCCGCGAGCGTGAACAGATCGAATTCGTACTCGTAAGAGAAGATATCCCGTCAAGGATGTCACACGCTTGCGGTTTCGATCTTGCACCTGCTCCGTTTATCCAGAAACGTTCGCGTACGTTCGCTTCTGCATCGAACAAACGCTAATCCGGATATTATCATCGTCGAGATACGAACGGAGAAACCGACCTACCGTTCGCTATCGCGTTTTCGTTCGAAACCCCTATCGAAATATATTTCTTTCCTCCGGCGTACTACGAAGTATATGGCTCCTTTCGAATAATCTATTTATCGACTATTTATCGACTATTTATCGAACGTCGCCTCCAGTATCAATGGATATTTATAGTTTTCCAAAGTTTTACGATCAATTATTTTCTAATTTTCTTTGTCTCAGACTCGAAGCGGGATGTCCGTGGGTTCGGGAGGGCGGGCGCCGTTTAAACGGGCATCAGCCACCTCTATTCCTGTCACGAGCAAATCCACGAAAATCCGGTAAGTACGATCGAAGAAATTTTATTCCCTATATAAGATTCCCTTTCGCGACACGACCGGTGTATCGCGTATAGCGGTGAAAACAAATAATGGGGACATTTTTTTTTCTTCTTTTGGGATTCCTATCCGATCGACGTACGTCGATAATTCGACACGGGAGCTGGTAGATAGATGGCGCGACACGTACTTTTCGCGAGGCAAACTTTCGTGTTCGAACCGTACGACGAAGGCAGACTGCGATCGTAATTGGCTTGTTTTTAATAGGCCTTGTCTTGTCTGTCGCGCGTCGGGAAACCGGTCGTGCTATTATTTTTATAGAAATTCCGTTATGTACCTGTTGCAGTTGTTCGCGTCGCTTTCTCTGGGTCGAACGACTGTTACCGTATTGACAATTCAATTTATTTTTAACGAAATGCGACCTTTACGAACTTTTACGTATCGTTCGTTAGGAAAAGTTTATCAATTTTTTACGTTGATTTTCCCTAAATAAAGTTGATGATCGCAACGACAGTCACGTTGGGGATATAGCTCAGTGGTAGAGCATTCGACTGCAGATCGAGAGGTCCCCGGTTCAAACCCGGGTGTCCCCTGTCATCTCGAGCGATGAAGCATTATTTTTTTTTAACTTTCAGATCAGAGGATATAAAAGATACAGCATCGGAATAATTCGTTGTAATTCGTTTAAAAATTTCAGCAAACTCGCGAAAATCGATAAAATTTCATCGATTTTCAGTAGTCGCGTAATAAGATTACTGTCGACAAGGTGCATTCCGTATCCGTGGAGCATAGTAGCGAACAGAATCAGCCGTTGCCTCGAAAATCAGAGTGTTAACGCGTCTACGTATTACGTAATCCCGTATGAGTCATTTGCATATTCATCGAGAGAACACTGTTGCAATACTGGCTTCGGCATTCTGTACATTTTTTATCGGATCTTTCTCTCATGAAAATTCAAGGCATTCCATTACCTTGTGACACACATAAATAAATCAGCTGATAACCTATATCGTGTATTGTATATATATATATTTACGATACTAATATTTTAATCGTCATGTTTTTAATCGGGTTTCAGATCAAAACCCGAATCAAGGGTGGCGTCTGCCACGGGAAAAAAACGAGACGTGGTCGCGTCGCTTTTCAGCCCGAAAAGGCCAACAAACAGAAAAGTCGAGCGTCTGAAAATCGGTCGACACGAAGCGAAGCTAGAGGAACAGCATAAGTGAGTGAATCCTGTCGATCTAATTACCATTAGCTTTACATAGTGACGTGACCAGTGACACGTTTTTCCAATAGCCCGTAGCGCGAGTAGAGTGTTCCCTTTACGAAAAAGCTGAACGAGAAAAGAGAAAAGAAACGCAGGATGCGTAAAGGTTCAATAACCTTTTGTCGCGTGTTTCTTACTTAGGCGAATAATTGGTACGTGTATCGTGATCGACAGATAGAGCCACAGTCGAGCTCCGCAAATAGTAGGCATTACGAAACGTCTCCTTTGCGAGACGCTATCGAAAAAATTCTAACCGAATGACCATTTTCTCTAAAAAGGTTATAGTTCGCATACCTGTAATGCTAAATGTATTTGATTACTAATCGGCCAAGTAAATATATTCGCGAGTAATAAGTATAAGAAACGATCGAAAGACACGAATATTACGCGTGAAAAATAACTCTTGTCTCGAGAGATCGTACTTACCGACGATTTTCGACGATTATCGACGTTTACCGACGGAGATCGGAGAGCATAGATTGGTGAACCACGAGGTAGCGCGATCAAATTTATAAGGTACCTGTACAGGTTTGAAAAGTTGATCCTAATACGAACCGGACCAAGTAGAAATTACTCGTTGATTTTTCCAGCATCGCAGTGATTCGATCATACGGGCTGAAAAAGTGGAACTTTACTCCGGTGTATGCACGTTCCAAAGAGCACGAGTGCACTTTCTCCCTCTTTCTTTCTCTCTCTGTCGAGACATTACTGGTGGATTGTTGCTCGCGATACCTTCGTGCCGATAAAAAAACAGGTGAATTCTGGTTCGCAGAAAACGTTAAACCTGTTTCTTTTTTGCACGAACTGCTGTTTCTTTCTTTCTCGGCGGTCTATCTCGTCCGCTCGAGACCGGGTTGCCGCCTCTGTCAAACTCGAGCGGACGAACGGACCTCGAAAAATCATCTCGTAGAAGATTTAGTGCTATCCTATCGCACCGTATCGGTCCGTTGATCGAACTAACACCGTAATGAACGTTCGCTTCACCTATTCAAACACGATATCTTGCCGATAAACAGCGTTATCTTACTCGTGTCGTTAATTATTTGACTTTAGTGTCTCGCTGTTCGAGGTTAGAGATCAAACGGTTATTTGAAAAGGACGAGCGTTGTTCTCGTTATATTACTACTCTATTGTTTAACCGTTTTACTATTTTATAGCTTTTCTATTCCGTTATTCCGTCATTTTACTATTACGTTTTATCAGACTGCAGTTTAGTTTGTTATTTTTCGTGGCATATCGAGAACCCGTGTGTATCCGTTACGTCGCATAAAACGATCCTGCGGCTATGGCTCGTCGTCGTCGTCGTCGTCGTCGTCGTCGATTAATCGTGGACAAATCGCGTAAGGTTTTTCCTTCCTCATCTTTTTCCTTGGCACGCAGAGGTAACTCTATATCTATATAGAAACATATCTTAACCTATTATCCCTTTTCAGTCGGACATCCGATCCAACGTTTCTCGATGAATCATACGATATCGCAACCGACCTATGTTAAGAGCCACAAATCCGTTCCAACTTTAGCTGTTCACTGTATCCAGTCAATTATTCCAATCCTGTTCCAAGGCCCGGTAAGCGAAACAACCAGTTGCGTCATACCAGTTGAGCTTAATTGTTTGTTTAAGTTTCCTCGTCGAAGAGCGAGAACGTACGTACGTACGATGAAGTTGAAGGCGCTCGTTCGTCGACGACGTCTGCTCTTCTGGCCGCTTAATTAGAGTTTAAAGACGGGACGTAGAGAGAGGTCGAGCACGTGGACTTTTTACAGGCTTCTAATTGTAAGTGCCGACCGTTCGACGGAACGACGATCCACTTCGACAACGAGAGCGGCACTTGGTCGACGTTAAACGACCTACATACCCAGTGAATCAAAAGCGAATCGTCATTTTTTTTCTGCGTATTTACGCTGCACTATCGTACCACGAGATCGAGCTTTTCTCGACTCTTTGGACGATCCTTTCACGAAATTCTAAAGTGGAAGCGAGAGTCGATCTCGAGAGGAAATCGAGAACGAGTCCGTGCCGTCTAAAAGTTAAAATACGCATTGTCTGTTAAGCATTCGCGCAAGAATGTCAGAGACACGATCGTTATTTGCGTAAAAGCAAACATAGTATCTTGGCGTCGCTACAGAAAAGAATGGTACACTTGTTGCCTCTGTTTTTCTTCGGCCACGATTTGCGTAACTCGATGCCTGTATTTGTCCTTATCTTTCAGGTGTTTCGCGAAAGAACAGGAGGTCCTATTCGCGAATTCTCGCAACGGAGTTTCCGAACGAGAGCGATCCTATCGCAGAAATCGTTATCTGCAAGCAGGAAAACGTCGTTGCGTGGCCCGATCGCGTCACCGAGCGTATTAGACGACTTGCCCATATACTCTTTACACTCTGTATCTATATCATTGGCGTAACTAGCATTTTTCTTCGTAGATTTTCTCGGTAAAGACCAAGCTTATCGGTTTATCGCTATCGACCGATAGCGTTTTCGAACTTTTCATGTAGACGGATGAATGTACACGAATGTCGTACGATGCTCGCGTTACGCATCGGTCCGTATTTTAAGACTGCCGCGCACGCCTTGATCTTTACCTAGTTACGCCAATGTTCTACACCTGAAGATAACGATATCTTTCTTATGACTCTGCTGCAACGGATAAGGTTAGGTTGCCAACGACTTTAATACTCGTGATTCTCCGAACAAGTTGCTCTCGCGTTAGCCGATTCATCGCGCACCTCGTCGGGATTTATTAGAGTCGTTTTAGATCGGTCCGAATGTTCGATGTCACGGTGATATACAGGGAAAGTGTATATTCTGGAGTCGACTATCAGCCTTGATCTCGTTCGAACGGTTGCGTGGTCGTTTCATGCTTGTTTCTATTTTCGATAGGTGCTTCGTGAACGCGAAACGGACCGATTCTTCGACGTTTAACCGTTTTCCGGTACTTGTTGGTCGAGAAGAGCGCGAGAACCTTCGCGGTTAGACGCGTCACGATTAGGCAAATATTTAAGATATTCTATCCGTCGTCGTAACGTTTTCGAACAGCGTGTCGAGGAACGCGATTACGCGATTAGTTAGAGGCGCGCGTAGACTGTTGCATCGAATGCCGTATAGAATATTAATCGTGGTATGAATAACGAGGTAAATACTCGAGCGCATCGACGAGTGTTCGCGTCTACGTCGCGACGACGGATGTTATCCATTGATATTTTCCAGACGTCCATCGCCGCGCGTCGTAAAACTGCTAATTCGTGGGAGACGCGGTTATAATTGTACGGAACTTAATTAAGCTTAAGGTTAGAGGCACGCGCTGATAGAATGTAATTTTCGCGTTTACGGTATGAATCATACGCGAGGCGTTATCTGTTCGAAAGATGCGATCTTTCGATCAAGTTAACGACTTCGGACAACCGAACAGACGAATGGTTACGGACTTTGGGTCGAGTCTGAAACGCAACCAGAACCTGCGAACGAAAAATACATTAGAACGGACAAATATTGAAATATTCAAATATTCGATCGATAATTGACGCGTCGTAGCCGTATCGGAACGAAAGTTAGATCGAGAATTCTAAATACGGAAGAACGAAGGAATATCGAGAGAGGCGAAAGGAGGTCAATCTAATTCGTTCTTAATAAAAGCGACTTTACACTTTCTCGTGGAAAAAAAGAGGCCGAGAACATAGCTATTGGTTACAAGATGGCGACTTTCACAGCACCTCGTACACGATGCGTTCATTATGTAGAGTGTAGAGGATTCACCGCGATCGTACCGGCGTATTTTCGAAAGCGTTTTTTAACAAGCAGAAGCGAACGATTCATCTTTCGAACAAGCACAAGATAATTCTACCGAAACGAACGCGATGTCCGTCCATACGTTATATTCGTATATTTAGACCAGCCCGATGAATTTTTCGACCGTTTCACCGTGGCCTCGAATTCGTCGACGGTCAAAGATACTTGGAACGACGATGCCGATATCGTGTCCGGTATCGAGAGCGTCGTATTTCTGCAAAAGTTGACGGAAAATCGCAATGCTGCATACCGGTTCTTTGCTCGACTAACGAGACACGTGCACGAGCGAAATAGCGCTTATCACGGTCGAACGATCCGTTATATTACGAATATTACGAGTACGTTATTAGGTTTAGCGCGTCAGGTGTATCCGCGAACATTTCGGGAGCGTCGTTTCGCGATACTTTGTCTTTGGAATTCGGTATCGGTCCTAGGAGAAGCTAACTCGTCGCGCGCGAGAACCGATCGAACGAGCAACGCAACGAAACCAGTCCTATCGTTAAACGCGTGTTGCGTTTGCGCGACAGGTGAACCTTTCGATCTCTAAATTCCTTCTTCTGGTAGAAACAAAGACTTATCCAGGAAAGTCTGGACCACCGGGTACATACCATATGTCGACCGTATGAGAAAACTGGTCGACGGTGAGACGCCTGCAGATTCTGTGGCCTCCTTAAGCAGCTTCTGCTTCCCTTGCCCCGACACTCGCCTAACCATCCTCGACAGAGTATGTGTACTCGTTCCCAGAGAGTTGGCGCAGGCTGTCTTAAGCCCCACCAACCCGACTCTCTCGGCAATTATCTCTCTTTCTCTTCTCGTTCCTTCTTATTCGTGCTTCTTCTGGCTGAACCGAGAAATCGAACGCAACAAGTTGAATGATCGGAACACCGCGTCATCGCGATCGACCAATCGGTTACACGGGCCCCTTTTTTTCGATCTACATGAATTTTCCTCGACCTACAGTGTCCTTAATTGTCCCAGCAACCGCTTTTCGCTCGCTTTCGTTCGTTTTCATCGAGAAACCTGCTATCCGACGAAATCTTACGCAACAGAAATTTCACTTCCTCGACGGACGAAAAGCGGTGTCGTACCGCCGCCACCGTCTCGCGTCATTCGGTAACGTGCCTCGAGCGTATCTAAGGCTAAGGGTGCGAATACGCCGATTCGAACGACCACTAAAAAACTGGGAATCTGTTTAAAGATCCTACATTCGGTATACGACCGATCGATACCGAATCGAAGGATCATCGACGAGCGTCGCGAGCGTCGCGTCGGGTACATAAATACGCGTATCTCTGCTATACACGTTCGCGTTCGTTCAGCTCGGTGGAGACGCACCCTAAAAGATAAACATCTCGATATTTTCTCGTAAGAACCGATAACGATTCACGGCTAACGCAAGAATGCAGACCGCTCGGTTTCCTCTCTCCTTCGAACATATTTCTGATCGTTATCGATCGCGAACGGCCGAAAAGTTTCGGTAATGTCGTCGTGGTCGTTACCATAAATTTAAAATTTAAAGAATGCCTACGTTCGACGCCTAGACGCGTTCTCGACTTCGTAGCCCTTCGTCCAGCCAAGCGGTCGCTATTCGAATGGAGGGGAATAATTATGGAGGGGGCACAGCTCTCGAGTTTCGTATTCAGTTTCCGATGCACTGTCGACCGTCGAACGCGCTACACGTCGGTTCGGTATTCTTTCTCGTGGAATTTTTACCTGGATAAACGAGACGCACGACTTTTAATAAGAAAGTCTGCGGTTTTTGATCGGCGGAATGAAAAAATACAGTGTGGTGCGGTGATCTTTTAACTTACCGAGATTACCGATACGTTTGAGCGACTCCGTTGATCCGAGGATTCGTCCGGAATATCTCCGTTCTGCTCGGGATCGTCGAGTTCGCTGTACGGGGATGCGAGAATACGCGTTGAAGAATCATCGATCGAAGAAAATAGGCTCGAGGAGACGTTGCTCGCGGCTGGTCGATGCAACAAGTGGTCGACGGATGCTGCGATCTAAGCGTGGACTTTACCTAACCGTCGATTCCATCGTGCATCGCTGTTAACGATTTCGACACGATTCGTAAACGTGCTCGAAACGGAGCACCGTTTAAACCTCCTTCGGGGCGGGAGGGCAGGGGGG